CTCTTGCCCTCTTTCCTGGCTTTTATTAGTTTTAGCACTTCTACATACAGGATTAGAGAACTTCTTTTTGTCCAGCTGGACAGTCTTACTCATATTTAGGTTTACATTAGGGTCACTGGGTTTTGTAACAAAAGAAGTTTACATTTCTTGTTGCTCTGTAATGTTTGCTAAAGGTAGAATTGTGAACTTTCATTATGCCACCATTGTAAACCTGGAAGCCTGAGGATCTTTTTAATTTATTTACTAACAGAATGATATGACAACTGCACGACTACGATGGGGAGATATACTTATGCCATTGCTCAAAAAATACAAACTAAATATCACATGGGGTGATCAAGATCTGTTGAATATCATATTTTTTCATAATCCAGGTAATCATTTAAATTTCTTTAATTCTTTGTATTTGTAAAAATTTTAGATAATATTTAGTCAAAAATGAAGAAATGCATTTAATTGATTTTGGCTTGTATTAATGATTATCACTCTTTTTAAGACAGTAAAACTTCTTAAATACTGATTTAGTAAGAAGAGCTTTAAATGCCAAACATTTTTTAGTATTCTGAATTTTATTCTGTAAGAGCTATATTTTTAAACTAAAATTTTTGCAAAATGTTAATTCTGTGGAATTAGGGTTATTTGCTTCATTGTTTTGTCTTTCTTCACATAGAAAGCCTTTTTGTTTTTCCCTGTCAATGGAATTATCGACCAGATCATTGTATATATGGAAGCAATTGCCAAGAAGCAGAAGAAGAAGGAATCTTTATTCTTCATGGGAACAGAGGTGTTTACCATGATGATAAGCAACCAGCATTTAGAGCTATTTATGAAGCACTAAGAAATGTAAGGATTTTTAAAAAAAGTTTTTATGTGGAAATACTTCCAAGCTCACAGGGAATTTGCAAGCATAGTACAAAGAATTTTCATATCTTTTACTCTAATTCATCAGTTATTAACATTTTACCCCATTGCTTTATCATTGGTTCTCTTTATGTATATACATTGCTTTTTTCTCACCCTTTGAATGTGAGTTGAATACATCATGCTCTTTTACCCCTAAAAACTTCTGTGTGTTTTCACTAAAATCAAGAACATTCTCTTATCAACTACAGTGTAGATATCAAACTCAGGAAATTTAATATTGATACCGTACTTTAATCCATGTGTCTTTACTCTTCTTTGATCTAGGACAGTTTCTTAGTCTTTCTGTATATTTTATGGCATTGACAGTTTTTGGATGATAGAGCCCCATCGCCCTCATGTTATTAGAATGTTCTTCATGTTGACGTATCTGATGTTTCCTTATGATGGGGTTCAGGGTATGCCCTTTTGGATACTGTATAAGTGGTATTGTGTCCTTTTCAGGGTATAACATTCACAGTCACTTTTGTCTGCCTTACATTGGTGATGTTGATTTTGATCACTCAGTTAAAATGTTCAGTTTCTCCACTGTATATTTTTCCTCTTAGAAGCAGTCTATGGGGAGGCTCTTTAAAATCATGTAAATGCCCTGCTCATCAAAATTTCTGTACTAGATTTAGTATCGTCGTTCTTGCACAAACCAGTCTTTACTGTGGTAGGTGCAAATTGATGATTGTACAGCTCAAGCATTCCTTCCGCATATAATTTTGGCACTCTGCTGTAAGGAAGAGCCCTCCTTTTTTGCCCATTTTTTGATCCATACATTATCAATTTGAACTCATTAATATGTATTTTTTCAGTGATTTATAATGCATTATTCCTTTTATTTATGTTGATGCCATAGTTTCACATTTGGCCATTGAGAGCCCTTTTGGCTCCCTCTTGTGCCCTTTTGACATATTCCCATCATTATTTTGAGTACCACCTCATTATCTGTCCCAACAAAATATTCCAGGCTCATCTTGGTATACCTTTGTTACCCTACCCCTGAAATTAGCTGTCTGTCAAAGGAACTCTGGTTCCTTTTGGTGGGCTCTGGGTGCTAGGCATGCTTATTGCAACAGGGGTGTCTTCTCTTCTTAGCCCTTTCATTTCATTGACAGAGCTAGGAAACACACACACACACACACACACACACGCACGCACACACTTATAATTATGTACTCATACCAACACACACACACACACACGCACACACACACGCTTATAATTATGTACTCTAACCAGTGCCTCCAGTACCATTTCTCCAAGTACCATTTCCTTGCCTTGTCCTACTCTGTGTTTCTGTGTTTTATCTCCTTTCTTCCAGAATTAGAATCTTGGCTCCTAACATAAAACATTTCTTCATTTGCTTAATCCTACAATACTTAAATATTTAAAATAATTTGAAAAATGCTTCATTCATACCATTATCTCCACTCCCCTCTTTGCAAAAAACCAGCCTACTAAAAAGAGTTCAGAATGTGTTTCCAGTCATTTCTGCTCCTCTTTCCTGCCCCCGGACAAGGGTGTATACTCAATACTCTGTTCAGGAGTTACTTGGATTAGTTCCTTTATCCTCTCTTTTAGTGAGATTATTTTATTCATTTGAAATACTATTGGGTTTGTTTCAATATACTTTCAGTTTTAAGTTTTTCTCCCCTCATTCATGCTGATTTAACTTTAATTTGAAATGTGGAATATATAATATACTTCAAAACGTTAAACTATATAAGAATTTACCTCAGAAGTATCACTCCTTTCCCATCTCTTTCACCCCAAGACCCCCAACTCCATAGGTTATCAGTTTCTTTGTTTTCTGGTTTGTCCTTCCTGTATAGATGAGCAGATACATGTATTTTTTGTAATTTCCCTTTTCTTACACAAAAAGAAGCATACTGCTTATATTTATTCACTCTTTGCTTTTTTTCACTTAAAATATTCTGGAAATTCATGTATTTATAAATATCTTCCTCATTCTATTTTTTTTTTTTTTATAGCTATATGATACTCCGTTTTGTATGTATACCAAAGCTTATTCAACCCATCTCTTATGTTTGAACATTTTGATGGTTTTCCAACATTTGAATTATAAATAATGCAGCCTTGCTTAACCTTGCCACATACCTATTTGTATTGTCGGGAGACATCTGCAGGGTAAATTCCTGGAAGTGGGATTATTGGATTGAAGATTCATGTTTGGACTTTCTAGCCAAGGATCCTGTGCCTCACGTAAAAGCAAATCAAAGGCATTCTTGCCAACAATACATGAGGAGTCCTATAGTCTCATTGGTGGAGTGTGTTACCAAGCTTTTAAAATGTTCCATTCAAATGAGTGAGAAATGGAATCTTAGTTTAGTTCTAATTTGCATTTCTCTTATGAGTGACGTGCACCTCTTTTTATATATTTAAGAACCATTTTTATATCTTTTTTTGATGAATATTCTTTCAAATCTGTCACTTATTCTGAAGTTTTAAAAGTTATTGCTACATATTTTATATACCACAGAGCTCACCCATTTAAAGTGATTCAGTTATTTTTAGCATGTTTGCAGAGTTATACAACCATCACTGTGAAGGAGTTCGGTCTTCACTCCCCCACCCCTGACAACTGTTGTAAGTTACTAGTATATTAGGCATATCAGTCCTTTATCTGTGATATCTGTTGTAAATATTTTCTCCCAGTTTGACTTTGTTTATAGCATATTTTGCCATTCATAGTGGTTTGTCTTTTAAAAATTTTGCGTAGTCAGGTTTGTCAACCTTTTTTTTTTAAAGTCAGAATTAGAAAGCCTTTTCCCAAATGTACTCAGGTTATAGAAAAATTCACCTATATACTGTTTTATTTATTATGTTTAGTCTTCTGCTCAATATGGAATGTGTCTAATTCGATCTTTTTCCAAATGGCTATCGTGTTGCCCCAACACCTTTTATTTAAAAGTCTCTGTGTAACCCCAAAATTTGAGATACTGACTTTATCATATACTAAAGCTCCATTTGTGATTTCTGGATTTTGGTTATTTGTGCACTAATACTCCACAGTATGTTAAAGACTTCGTATTGAGTTTTAATATCTAGTATAAAGCCACCCCCTCTTCATAGCCTGTCCTTCTCAGCTTTTTCCTAGATGTTATATATTTATTTCTACATAAATATCAACTCATTTAACTACCTAAAAATCATGTTGATATTTTTATTGGGAGTGTATCAGCTTCATATATTAACTTAGGGGCTCCTGACATTTTGATGGTGTTGAGACATCTTAAGAACAAGGGCTGTTTTGCCATTTATGCCTTTCAGGAAAGTTTAATAGTTTTCCTCAGAGAGAATTTAAACATAAGTTTATGCTCAAGTATTTTATCTTTTTTGTTGCCTTTGTAAATGAGGTCTTCTCTCTTAAGCATTTGTTTTATAGTGAATTTTGGGGAAAAATACTGCCCCTCTTTCACCCCTGCCCCAGATATCTGTTCTCTTTTTTTCTCATTCTTACAGTTCCCTTTTGTGTTAAGGTGGTTTAATAAGGGGAGATGATTATATTTCACGCACCTCTAGAATGATACCAGGTCTCCGTGAATATGTTGGGGACCAAGACATGGGGCAAATCCAAATGAGGACTAAATTTGTGATTTTGTTTAATGAGCTGTATCACTCACTATCCATGCAGCTAATTCATTGATACCTGGGGAGAAGTATATGTGACCACTCATTTCTCATGCAGCTGTGCTCTTTATTCTGCTAGACTGTGCCCAATCTTATGTGGATGCAAAGACAAAACATAAGTAAATAATAAGAGTTCTAGTTTGGTTTAAATACGAGAGTCAGGAGAAGAGCTGATGCTTCTATTTGCTAGATTCTCATTCGCTGATGATTGAAAACCTCTGGTCTAGTATAGCTTCATTAATAAGAATGAGAATAAAAATACTTAACTGTAATCCATTGTGACAGAGACTGTACTAAAACTATGAGAGAGGGTAACAGTTTGCTTTGAATAGCCAGGGAAGGCCTTCTTCATGAGAGGGCATTTGAAGTGGGTCCTGAAGAATGAGTAAGAATTTACAAGAAGAGCAGGGACTGCCTGGGCCAAGAACTGCCTTCAAAAAAAGGCTCAGGGGTTATGAAAAATCCACAGGAGAGGTTAATTATTGAGCCCTTCAGTTTGACTGGAGTGATGGGTGAAGGTAGGCAATGGCTGGGTCGGGGATGATGTGATGATGTGATGATGTGCTGTGTTAAGGTGATCTGTGGCAATAAGTAATTGGTGTTTTCTCCTGGAAATCAGTTTCTCAAACTTAGTAGTAGGTAAAGTGCTAACAGCATTGTAAGTTACAGTTTTAGTGTATTATTTGCCAAGTTTCCTGTCCTATAAACTTGACACATAAGGATTCTGAATGTCAGTTTATCTCAGTATAGCTATACTCATTGAAGAATTATAAAATTTAGTGTTGGTGTTCATTTTAATGTAGCAGACCTTGTATGCCTACAGAAATCAATGTTTATTTTAAACATTTTTATCATGAGTGGTCAAAAGGTGATAAAAATGAATAAAAGTACATTTGGGGGTTTTGAGACTTTGCAGGACAGAAAAGAAATGCATTCTTATAAAAATGTGATTTCTTTGTTTCCTTTGAGCATTAAGAAATACATTACTAAAGAATTAAATCTTACTAATTTATTTGCTCTTTTATAAGTATGTACCTTTAAAAAGCTGAGTAATAGTTTTAAGCTGATTAATTACACTTGACTTTTAAAAAATAAGTCTTTTAAAATGACTTCAAATACAAATTAATGATTTTTTCGTGTTTGTTTTGGTTATGTGGTAATTATCCATTTTTCAACTTAATGAAGTTAATCAGTCTTTTATGGTGCTCTTGGATAGTGTTTTTTATCTTCCCTTATCTATAATTCAGTGAGAAGCATAATTTTTAAAAGAATTGCATTCAGACAAGGGTATTTATGCAAGTTTCAGACAGATGCTTAGTCATAGCCATCGAATGGAATGAACAATATGAATTATAAAGGATGCGAATCATCTTTAAATTGTAAATACATGGCTATGTCTGCCAGCAAATCAGTTTTTACAATCTATACATATTTGTTACATATCAGTTGTTGAATGAATAAAAATGTTGAGTAAAAATTGCAAATTCAAAATGGGAACAAAACATTTTATTGCTCTATAAGGTATTTTCTGCTTAACGTATTTCATTCTGAATTATTATATTTCTTGGTGTTTCGGTGTTAGCTTTGATTTACTTCACACCCTGCCTTTATTTGCATAACTATATCTGCAAGGGAGTCTTGAGTGTTTCTCTCTTAAACTACCTTCTTGTACATAGTTGGTACTTAGCATTTCTTGGCTTGAACTGCCATTCTGCCATAGTTCTAAAACATGTTCTGTTCTTTGAAAGTGCCTTGGGTTATGTAATAATGGTCATCAAAGCCTCACTCTTGGCTGCCTTTCAGCTGACAGTCCTCTACGCAAAGCCTGACCTTCCCAAGAGTTTGTGTACTGGGTGCTTGCTGTGCCAGTGACGAGGGACCGAGGAGCTGTGTTAGGAAAGGCTTCTCAGAGGGGCTGGCATTTGAACTGAGCCGTAAGGATGAGTACCAGGCAGAGAAGGGAAGGTGAAGACGAGTCAGGCACAGCACGTAGTGTGGGAAGGAGGCCTGTAGTCGGGTTGGAACACCTAGATGCAAGTTACGTACTGCCCAACTCTGGGTATTGTTCATTATGTGAATGGCAAAATGCAGTGACTTTAGGCAATATTTGTGTAGGTGAAAATGTTAGTAATTTATCATCTTCTTCCTTGAAGGTCAAATTGCTTGTATTATATTAGTGGACTAATTCATCAGGCACAGTTTTAATTTCAGGAAAGTAGTCATCAAAAGACTTTCCCAGTGAAGAAAAAAAAATTTTAACCACGGACACTGGGATTTAACCACAGTTGTTTAAGTATGCTTTTGTACACATTGAAATGTTACTTGACAGTATCACTTGATAAATGTGATAACCCTTGGTAAAGGTTACCTTCAATTTGGCTGCCACTTTTAACCTCAAACAAATTTAGGCATATCTATGTATAGCACAGCACTTTTCCCAGTTTCCCACTGTTACTTGAGCTTGATCTTTCAACAGGTTTTTGGAAACTGACTTGGCATGGTTTTGTTGCTTATTTGGATTAGGCGGTGCTGTGTGGTATTGAAGCAATTGCATTTCGGGAGCTGGGCAGCTGGGATGGAATTCTGGTGTTGCCACTTACTAGCTTTGTAACTGTGGAAAATGATCTCTGCCCGCCTTAGTTGTTTCATTGTGAGTGGAGATAATTATATTACCTATTTCTTAAAGTTGGTGTCTGGCATGTAGGAAGTAGGAAGTGCCCTTTTTTAAACCAGTCCAGGTTTCAGTAGTTTCTCCCATGCTAGCTGCTGCTGTTTTCATTACATTTTTCCTAACTAGACTTCCCCTTTCTTTTGTCTTCATAACGATTTTAGATATTTATCTTCAGTATATGTGGTTGAGTTTAAAAAAATCACCCCAAAAGTGATAGTTTCATGCAGTTAATGCTCACAGTTTTATTGCTCAAGCAATACCAAGGTTTAGGATCTCTTTGCATCTCTGAACTGATAAAATCCATGTAATAAATTAGCATCTAAGTTCATCCTTTTCTCCATAGATTGACTTCAGTTTTCTGCAGACTCACTAATTGTGATTTGAATGGTGCTTTCATTTCCTCTCTCTGTCATGGTACTGAACCTCAGGGATAACCTCGGGTCATCTGAAGCCCTCCAAGATTTCAGGTTCTGAATTTCCTTTGGTATCTTGCATTTTTCACTGACTTCAATCGTTCACATAAAAATGTTCAATTTTCAAGCCCCATTCATATTTGTAATTGAAAATGCAGCTAGTTGCAAATGCTAAATCAAAAAATATACCTGGTTGAAAATACCTAGGTCACAACTTAATCACTGCCACATTGTTTCCCAAAATGCATTTCGTAGGTTATATATGTTATTTTACAATAACAAAGGACTCTGGTCAAAATATATTTTGGAACTAGTGGGCCAAACAGCATTCAACAGATGTATTTTTTGTTTTACTTTTTAGAGTTTTTCACATGTCAGTGTGAATACCTACCAAGAGTGTATGTTATTTCGCAGTTCTCAGACGTATTTATCGTTGGGACCCTTTCGTGCAGTTAGGGTTCTTTGGGAAATGCAGATCTGTGGTATCATTTTACATTCCTCCCACTCCATACCTCTGTCTCATTCCTTTTCAGTCCAGCCTCAACACTGTTATCAGTGATTTGGGGCTCATTGGTTTCTCTCAGATACCTTTTGGTTGTCATCTCACACCAGTCAGTATCTCTGGCTATTCTCTGCCCTTGAACATGGAAGAACTCTTGCCTTGGCTTGGAATGCTCTGCCTTCATTGCCTCTTCTCTGTAAAGCTTTCCCTCATACCCCCAGTGATTTACCATTATTTTCTCCCTCCTATAATGTGAGATTAAAGTTTTTACTTTATTCGTTGAAAATATTTGTTGAGCATATACTTTTGTGAGACTTTAAATGGAGATTGTCAGTATTAAATTTAGTGAAGTTATTTGGAATTAAGTACACATTTACATATATTTTTGTCTTCTTATTTTCTTTCTCTAGTGTTCTTTTGAAGATGACAACATCCGTTCCTTGTTAAAGCCTTTAGAACTGGAACTGCAAAAGACAGTACATACATACTGTGGAAAAATTTACAAGATATTTATCAAACAGCTAACAAAAAGCATACGAGACCGTTATGATAGACCACCAAAGGAAAGGTGATTCTTGGTGACCACCGAATCAAGTGAATTAAAACAACAAAATATTAGAAGATATATGTGAAGGAATAGTCTTGAACGAAGTGTACGAGAAGGAATTATTCATCTTCAGAATAATTTTTTTCCTGAAGAAATTAAGTGAGCAATATATTCATATAATGAAGAATAAATTAAAGTCTTGGACCCCAACAAAAAGACATTTTTCATCTCTGATGTGTTGTAATGTTATTTGCTATCCTTCCAGTGTTGATGAATATATTGAATTGTGTAGCCTACAGACTTTGGTTGACTTATTTTCAAGAGAGTAAGAACAGTAGGGGTGTATGGATGGAGAGAATGTACCTCATACACAGTGGAAACAAACTGTGAGTATAGCAATAATTTTATGTCAGCACTAACCTCACTTTAAATGTGTGAGAAAAAAGTTGTTTACAGGAGCAGAAAAAATTCTGTTTCTAAAGAAATGTGATGTAACCATCGACAATCTTCATGTGCCTTTATAGATTTCATCTCGTTTTAAAATCGTTCCTTGTGACAATCATGTTTAAATTTATTTTTAGATTGTAAGTAAGTAAGCTGCACGTTTAAAATTGAGCTGTATAAGAAAGAAGGAAGACTGAAAATTTTGGAGTTTTAGTCTCTGTGTTTATGAAACGTGGCGTTTTCATTTGTCTTGCCAAACTTAGATCTAAGATTGTTAAACAGATCCTTTGGGAAACATTTTTTTTATCACTTTAAATGAAAATTTTCAGCTTTACTGGGCATTCTGGAAATAAAAAATATGCTGATAATAAAGTGAGAACCTACATGGTATTACATGATGGTGGAAAATGTGATGGACCAAAATACATAAGCTATATACTTCCGGTGAACAGTAATTTTAGTTTTAGTGGAGCAGAAAATGAATGATCTATTTAAACTTCTTTTCTTCTACCTCAAAATGGCGTAGCAAGGTATTTTTGAAGAAGCAACTATATAGAGCCTTACTTTAAATAAGTCAGATAACTTTCATGAATGATTCAGATTAAGAAAATTGTTACCTCTGACTATACAAAAAGTAGTTTTGATTGGGTTAATGTGGTATCTTTCTTTTTTGAATATTACTTAAGACTTTTTTTAATGTTGAAAATATGAGAAATATTACTTCTCGTAGTGTTCTTGACAGCTATCTAATTAATATAACGATGGATTCTGAGTACTTAACACGTGCTATGGCACATACCTCATTTTACCAAGTGCTATATGGTTATATTCTTTTTCTCTTTTTGATATTTTAATGCTTAAATAGAGAAATGGAAATCATGAAGGAAAAATATCACTTCTATGAAAATAGTGATGATTGGTTTCATGAGGACACAGTGCTCTGTGCAGACATAGAACATACAGAAAGATGATCAGTACCGTTGTCTCCTATCTTTTGTAGTTCAGTCAAGGACACATTGAGAGAAGGTGTAAGGAAGGCAGATTAGTTGATAACTAGCCTAGCTCTCTTAGATGCATTTAGAGAGCACAGTCTGTACATCCTTGACAGAATTACCATGGTGAATATAATAGTTTATGAACTGTGTTGAAGTTGAGTTTGCTAAGTAGAAAATGAGAATCCTAGAATTTTCAAGTTTGGAGGGTATGTAGAAGATTGTTTCTAACAGTCCCCAAATAAGACAATTGCTTGCCTGGCTGTATCAGACTCTCGGGGAGCTTGTTGAGAATGGATTTCTGGGTCCACTGTGTGTAGGATGGGGTCTACAAATTTTTTTTTTTTTTTTTAGTGAAGAGATTTAAAAATAACACAAAAGTAGAGTGAATAATATAGTGGTGCTGATTGTCCAGAGCAAGCTTAACCATATTTGCATCATCTACCCCTTTTTTCTTTGCTAAAGTATCTTTAAAGAAAATCCCAGACATCATGTTATTTCACTGCCATGGACATTTTGGTAACTTCAATGACATACCTCCTCGATATTAAATGAATATCCAGTTTTTAAACAAATTCCCCTGATTGCCTCCAATGTTAGAATCAGGGTGCAAAAATAAGTCACAGTGTGATTCTGTTTTTGTTAGGATTCTATTTTTCATGAGCCCCTCAGATGATTTTGATGTCAGCTAGTTTGGGAACTACTGGAAATAATTTTGCCAACTTGAAGGTTGAAGTTAGGATATCACAATTCTTGTTACAGTTGGTGGATTGTAATTGTGATTCTGAAATATTAGAGGAAGTACTTGGAGTTATTGAAAAGATATGAATTTATATTAATAGTAAGTTACTTAGATTTAATTTCCTCAGTGAGCAGAGAATCTCAGACCCACGGAATCGGGTTGGTTGATTGGGACTATGTAGAGCATGATCATAGTTTAATTCAACTGGACTGTACACTGTGGCCCCACATGTTGCGGCTTATTTACATTGTCATACATTCTGCATTGTTGATCAGTTGGAAGAGTCTTCGTCTGGTTTATTCAGACCTGGTCTAATTGGGCATTTTACCATAAATTGGGTTATGGTGAAAACTCTCCATTTAGTGACTGTTTTATCTAAAATTGAGGATATCACAGAAAGTCCATAACAATATTAAAATGAGTTTTCTGAATTTATCTTTAGATAAGGTAACCTTTTCCTTGAGAATTCTCAAGAAATGCAATTCTCAGTGTTAATGAGGTTAAATTATAGAACTTAGAGAATATTTCTATTCACAAAACACTATATCTATGCAGTTTATATAAATTATATTATATAGTCTTTGAGTCTGTGTGTTAGAACAATTCTGACCTCAGAACTATCTCTGGGCTATAGTATTACCAAAGTGGAATGACTTAAATGTAGTCAGACTTCATTTATGTGAAGTAATCATCTTAGAAGAACTTGGAAAATCTTTAGAAATATATATTGTGATTTACATTTTAAGAAAATAATTTTTTCCCCTTAGGAGTAGTTTCGCACATATAAGGTAACTCAGTTATCTTTGGATACTTTGGAGCCTGAAACAATATTACTGCTTGCTTATTGCTCTCATTTTGCTTTCAGTGAGATATTATTGGTGTGATGGAAGGAAAATCAGACTGAACTAGATCTGGACTCTCTTCCTGGTTAGGGATCCCAGGCATATTATTTAACCTTTTCTGTGCCTTGGGTTTGTAAACAATCAATATGCCCTTCTAGCCTCAGAAGACTCAGAGGTCATGAGTTATGAAGTTCTGAGGTTCAGAAGAGATGAAAGATTTGAAAGCATTCTTCATGGCTTATATCATGCTACATCAGCATTACTGTCCAAGTTCTCTCTTGCCCTGTCTTCTCTTCTACAGATCATTCTGTTTCCTTAGGCCGAATGTTTCTGACATGTATTATATATCCAGTATGAATTTGCTTATATTATGCAAGGAAGCGTTTTTAAGGATGAGAAAGTGGAGAAGAAAAGAATGATGTAAATGAATGATCAAAAAAAAAGAAGGAAAAGAGAGGAAGTGAGAAAAGTGAAGAAAGAGAAAGGAATAACAGAATGGCAAAAGGCAGAGTGAAAGATGGAATGAGAGGTGGGAAAATCGAGACGTAGAGATGGAGAGGAATGGTGTGGAAACAGTCACTTATTGAGTTGTAGCCCCCAACCCTGTGCCACTGTCTGCTGGCCTCTCTCTAGTTCAGTGCATGAGGCCTTCCAGGGTCAGGAAGGGTGCAGGCTTTCATGGAAGGGGGCAGCAAAGCTACCTTGGTTTCATTTGTTGATACTAGAGTTGTTTCCCAGTCACTGTACTCACTGGTTATTTACTGCTAATGATTCAACATTGTATTATTTTACTGGATCCCAGTGTGTGAGCTTGGACCTGTGGAAACATGATGACAAGTATCTTCCTTTTTAACGTCGTTTTAGTCATTCCAAATGTTGGCTTATGCAAGACTAACCACGTAGAATCACATGGGAGGTTAGGGTGGAGGGGATGGCTTCATTAGGTCTGAAGGGGCCCAAGAATTTATTGCAGCAGTTTTCCAAGATGATACTGTTAGTAGGAAGCTAGGTTTGGGAATCGCTGCCCTACCTTGAATGGCAGCTTAAGCAATGGCAGCTTAAATCCCATCTATTGATTTCTTAATAGGCATACTTTCAGTTGAACTGTTATGAATGGATTCAAGAGAACAGGAGATAGCAGAAATACATTAAAGGGAAAAAAACCTTAAAATAGTATTCAGTGTCTTCTTTTTCAGAAGTTTATATTGTAGGTAATAAATACCTAGTAGTAATCAGAACCTTTTTGAAGTGGTTTTAGAAAGACCATTGATGTTTGTTTTTTTAAATAAATTTTTGATTCTTTAGAGAAAGTGAAGAAAAGTAGAAGAGCAATATGTCACATGTGGGATCAGTTACCCATTTTTTAAATGTAATTTCACATGTCTTAACAATTTCCTTTTAATATTTAATAAAAGTAGATTAAATAATCTGTACTGTAACAACAGTTAATCTTTTTATGCACTGCCAAAGCAACCCTTTTTTGACTATTAAATTCTGGCCAAACTCTTCTGGTGTTTGTTGTTTCTTAATTCATTGAATATGAAACTAGATTTTTAAAACAAGTTATAAAATTATGTAAACTTAAGACAAGTCTAAAGGTGGTACAAGAATGTCCTTATTTTTAAACTAAAAATGAATATTAATTCAACAGAATTATGAGAAGAACATGAAATAGCATATTGGACTAGGCAGTTTAAAATTGATTACAAACCAATGTCAGACATATTTTAAATGAAAAATGTGTATTGTCACCTCATCTCCATTAATAATTCCATATGTATAATGGGATTATTTCTTTAGCATTTTCTGTAAACTCAGTTTTCAAACAAAAGAGAACCCTTGAAAAGATATAAAGAAAATAAAAAAAATTCTCTCACAAATACTATGAATACTTTTGGAGGATCTGTGGTCAGACATTTCGATATCAAACTTAACTGTTGTAGAGGCTTTTTCATTTTTATACACAATCTGAATGTGTGAGCATATTCATACACATAACAATAGCAACTGTAAAAATTGAAGAGAACACAACTTTTTCCATTTAAAAAGTAAATCGACTTTGATGATGATAGAAAATAGCTCTTTTCAATCTTTGTATAAAACCTCTTCAGGGAATATTGGAAAGCTGTGCAAAAGTAATTCAGAACTTGTAGATTGTGTCATTTATTTAAAATTTAGCAGAACACACATGTATCCCATTCATTGTCATTTTTGAGAGTTGGGTCAGTGGTTTTTAATGGGTGCTGTAACAGCAGCTCTATGAAGGAGATGATGGTTTGCACCTGTTCCTGAAACCAGAAACTGGAAAAAATTGCAGTTGTTTCAATTTTGTACAAGCATTTTGCACAAGCATATTAATACTTTGAGTAGTGGTAGCTGTAAGCTGCAGGAAAGCATTTTGCTGTAATGTGACATACAAAAATTACTACCCTTAAATTGCTTTTTACCTTGAAATGATATGGTTTTAGGATAATTTGAATATCTTCCTCCAGGTATTTTTTTGTATCTTGAAGTTCATTAAAGGTGAATATAGAATTATAGATTTGGATGTTACCTCAGAATAATGGAAAGTTGTTTTGGGGGAGTTGAACTCATCTTTTTCTTGAGAAACTGTTGCCATTACTAAATAAATATTTACTTAATAAATGTTTAGTTTCTTTTATGTGTCTGGATTCTAGCAATCGAAAACAATTTTGAAATCTTTTGAGTTAGGATAGGATGCTTGATTAACTAGAAGTCTAGAAACTATATCCTAAGGAACAAATTTCCCTCATGTTCCCTCACATGTGGACCAACTTATTAATTATTAAGGTCATGAATTCATTAAGGTAAACCTCAAATATGAAATGATAAAACAATTGAATGAGATTAAAAAAAGATTATAGGCCTAAGAAACAAGGATCAAAAGGATGCCATTAAAAATATGATAAATAGGAACAGAAAAGACAGTTGAAAATTAAATTGCTGATATAGAGGAAAAGTGTAGCACAGTAAATCAAATTCCAGTTACCAGCAGCAGAATAATTTGAACATGTTTCCAAATGATTGCCATGAGAATGAGTAAAGCTAAGGGCAGTTTCCCAGGCAGACCTAGCATCCTTTGAAAGAATTAGCCTTCAGAGCTCTCTGAGGTTGATTCTGTAACACCTAAGCAAAGTGTATAAGGAAGAAGGAAAATAAAGGAATGGGGAAAGGGATAGAAGAAAAATAAAAACAAAATAAAATAGAAGTAAAATCAATATCCAAGGTTTAAAATAGGACAAAGAAATGTTTTAAAACAATTCTGTATAGTAGTCTACCAAAATATGTAATAATTTTTATCAAACATATTTACACATAGTAGATTCTTTCAGAAATAGAAGAAATTGATAAAGCCATCATCATAATGTGTTAATAAACTCTCAGAATTTGCACATCAGGAAGACCAAAAGTAAAAGTTTTCAGAGGATTTAAATAATGCTGTGAACAAACACTGTTATATATTCACGTTACATCTATATTTATAGATTTAGTAACCTGAAGGAAAACCATAATAAACTTGTGTATTAGGTAAGGTTACCTAGGATGAGAATTGGCTACCAGTGACACAAATCCAAAATAATGGTAACTTGAAGATAGCGTATTTCTCTCTCACGTAAATGTGGATTGTCAGCGCTAATTTAGAGGTTCCAATATCAGAGACTTGATCTCTTACCTTCTCCTTTGTCATTTCCAGTAAATGGCTTCTACCAGTGAGTGGTACCAGAATGTCATCCTGGTTCCATTTAGCATGTCTGCCTTCCAGCTAGCAGGGACAAAGAAATGGAAAAGGGCCTGCTCCCAGCTTTTATACAACTTTTGGGGAGTATCACAAATTACATTCCTTTGGCCCAAAGCCTACTCATGTGGGCTATCTAGCTGCAAAAGAGGTTGAGATATTTTTACATATTCTTCACATGTGCCTATATAAAAATTGTCATGTCTAGTACTGAAGAAGAAGAACAAGAATAGATATTAAGGGAAAACAATCACTGAGACACTTTGCATGTCTGAAAATGTATTCTTTTCTGCACTTCTGATGGATAATTTGGCTGGATATAGAACTCTATTTGGACAGTTTGCCTTTCAAATTTGCAAAGCATTGGTCTATTGTCTTTTAATTTCCTATATTGTTTGTATTAGGGTTCTCCAGAGAAAGAACCAATGTATGTGTATATATTTATTATAAGGAATTGGCTTGTGCAGTTATGGAGGTTGAGTAGTCCCATGATCAGCTGTGTGCAGGCTGGAGACCCAGGAAAGCTGGTGGTGTAATTCAGTTCAAGTTCAAAGGCCTGAGAACCAGGAGAACTAGCTGATGGTTTAAATCCTAGTCTGAAATGAAATCGGTATCTCCAAGAGATACTTGCATTCTCATGTTCTTCGCAGCATTATTCATAATAGCCAAGGCATGGAAACAGTAAAAGTGTCCATAGATGGATGAGTGGATAAAAGTATCACATATAAAATAGAATATTAATTAGCGTTACAAAAAGAAGGAAACCCTGCGATTTTCAACAATATGGAACAATCTGGAGGACATTATGCTAAGTGAAATGAACTAGACAGACAAATACTACATGATCTCACTTATATGTGAAATCTAAAAAAGTTGAACCAGTCTACGGCCAAGCCACCCTGAACACGTTCGATCTCGTCTGATCTCAGAAGCTAAGCAAGGTCAAGCCTGGTGAGTACTTGGATGGGAAACCACCTAGGAATACTGGGTGCTGTAGGTGTTAAAAAAAAAATAAAGTTGAACTGATAGAAACAATAGAATGCTGGTTACCAGAGAGTGGAGGAAATGGGGAGATGTTGATCAGAGAGTACAAAATTTCAGTTACAAGAAGAATAGGTTCTGTATCTAATGTCATGGTGACTATAGCTAGAAATACTGTACTGTATACTGAAGTTTGGTAAGAGTAGAACATAAGTGTTCTTACCACACATACATGAATTGGTAACTAAGGTGTACAACATCTTGTATACCTTGAACATATACAATTTTTATTTGTCAATAATACCTCAGTAAAGCCGGGGGAGGGCGGAAAATCCTAGTCCCTAGGCATTAAGAGATGAGATATTCCAGTGAGGCAGGAAAAAAAAAAAAAGGGACAAGTTCCTCCTCCATTCAGGACCTCAATGGCTTGGACGATGCCTATTGACATTGGTGGGACAGGGTGGGCGGCAATCTACTGAGTTAAATTCCAATGCTAATCTCTTCCCAAGTGCCCTCACGGACACACCCAGAAATAATGTTTAATCAGAGAACACCTTGTCCTGGTTAACTGTTAACATACAGTTAACCATACAGTTAACCATCACTTTATTGAGATGTCTAATGCTTAATTAAGCTCTTGTATGTGACCTAATTTTCTTTCTTGAAACTGAAAATCTCGTTTCCCTGGAGATTTTTTGCCTTGTTCTGCTGGGCAATTCATCTTGGAGTTCTAAAATTTCATGATGATGCACTTTGCTGGGAGCCTTTTTCTCTTCATTGTGCTGGGTGTATTTTGATTTGGACACCTGGTCCTTCATTTCTTGAAGTTTTCTTGAAATTGTCTTGAATGCTTTATGCCTTTTATCTCTCTTTTTGGAACACCTATTTTTCTGCTACTGTAATAGTTCTCTAATAATCTTGTCACTTCCTGTTTTTTATAAGTTGATAACTCATCTTCCACACTTCTATTCAGTTTTTCAAAACACTTGTTTTCATATTTTTAGTTTCCAAGAACAGTGTTTGCTCTCTGAATGTTCCTTTTAATTGCATCTTGTTCTTGTTTTAAAGATGCACTTTTTTATCTCCCCAAGGAGATTAATTTTGTATTATCACAGTCACAAAGTTGTTTTTTATTCTTGGTTTTGCTCTGTCTTTCATGTTAGATAGAATCTTTCTAATGTCTAGGGATCTTTGGCTATTTTTATCTTATTTAACATTAAGGTACCTCAAAGTTGAGTGGAAGGTCTGTGGTAGTTGAGATTTATCACCTGATAGACTTTACTATAGGGTAATCTGTGCTTTTTTATTGGGAATTCCTGATTCTCAGTGTAGTTCCTTTTTCTTGGACTGGTCAGAATTTTCAGAAAAGAACTATTTATGTAGTTTGAGCCTGATTGCAATATTGTGGGATCTAAGTGAGGGAAGGGGACTGTTGCCTTTTACTTAATTCACAACCCTCCTCCCGCCCTTTTTTATTTTTTGGTTAAGTACCCCTCACCATCAGTCGAGCCTGATGTACCCAAATTCAGAGTCTTAGGACCTTTTTGTTCAAACTCTCTAGCCAGTTAAACTCCAGGCTTATGCTGTAATGGAGGAATGGCATCATACAGAGGCAAGGGTTTGAGGGAGGAGAGTGGTGAGGCCTAACAGCTTCATATAATTCACACCTGTAGAGTCTACCAGTTCCCCTGCTTTCAGTTGCACCTTATACTTCAATTCCTGATATTTCAACAAGGTTCTTTGATTCAGGTAGTTTATTTTCCAGGCTTTTCCCATTGCCTGCTTACATTCCATTCTGCCCCCCGCCCCCGCCCGCCAAAAAAGTGCCAGAACTTGTTCATTCCTGTTCCAGCTTTCAAATTTTTGTTGCTTTCGATCTC